CTAAGGGAGTAGCGGTTGAGACAGGAGAGGTCTGCTGTGCCATATGTGGTATTAGCTTTCTGGCCAGGGATCCATGTTGGGCCCTAGTCTAAGGGTGATAGTACTGAGACCTAACCCCTAGGCCACCATGGAGGCCCACCACTGATTTTCTTATTTTCCTTCTTACATAGCAGCTAAATGTATTTTTTTGTACATGTTTATTTAAAATTTAGTAGTAACTTGGAACTCACTCTCTGTGGGCCCATGGAAGTCTTCAGATTATGTTTATAATTTTTTTTTTTTTTTATAGAGGCATGCTTTATTTATTTGTTTGCTGGTTTGTTTGTTTTGTTTATACATGCACTGGGTACAGTCAGAAGCGCGGGAGGGTGAGAGAATTCACCAGAGCCAGAGCGGGGAGCAGAGCAGGCAGAAGGACCGAAGTACACTGCTGAGGGGAGCAGCGGGCGGCAGGAGAGGTCTGCACGCCATGTGGGACCCTCCTCCGGTGGCCGGGGAGCAGCCGGGGATCGAACCGGCGCCGCAGAGGCCGCGGGCAGCTTCGCAACCCAGCGCTCAACCGCTGCGCCACCGGGGAGGCCCTATAATTTTTTTTTAAGTTGGCTTTCAGAATGTATTTTTTACTTAATTTCTTTGTTCTCTTGTTTCTTTTTAAGGTTGCATGTGTTTAGGTTATGTATATATACAAATTATGTATTGATATGTATGTATATTTAGCACATCCCTGTCATTATTTGCTCCTAATTTCAGATGAAGATTATTGCCCAAATTTATCTTAGTTAGGACTTGGTACGGCTATTGTAAAAGACCTTGGATTGTTTTTTTTTTTTTTTTTTTTAAGATTGATTTATTTATGCATACAAGAACCTGGGGTGTAAGGCCTCCCCTGGTAGCGCAAGGGGTTAATTCGCAACATTATCTGCAGCCATTGCAGCATGAGTTCGATCCCTGGCCAGGGAGGTGACCCACATAGTGCAGCAGCCCTCTCCTGTTTTGCCCGCTGCTCCCCTCAGCAGTATATTTCAGTAGATCTGCCTGTTCTGCTCCCTACTCTGTCTCTGGTGAATCCTCTCACCCCCTGCACCTCTGGCCTGCACTGCAGCTCTTGCATGCATAAATAATTTTTTTTTTTTAAACAGGGGTGTAGGCCAGAGGTATGGGGGGGAGGGGGCAGTGAGAGGATTTTCAGAGACAGAGTGGGGAGCAGAACAGGCAGATCTACTGAAATACACTGCTGAGGGGAGCAGCAGGCTAGACAGGAGAGGTCTGCTGCACCATGTGGGTCAGCTCCCTGGATAGCTTCATAGTGTTCAGACTTAATCCCTTGTGCCACCAAGGAGGCCCTTAACAAATGTTTATTGAGTAACTACTAGAGGTGCTAAAATGATTGGGTCAAAAGGAGGATATGTTCACCTCAAGGAGTTTACAGCTCCCCTCTGCTACTTCCCCTCCCCCTTCATACACAAACATAGAGTTGTGCATCACAGTATTTTTTACTTTTTAAACTTGCTTCTAGAGCATGCTGATTAAATTACTGGTGAAGATGTGATTATGTTCTCATGATATCCTTGTGTGGGTTAATACTGGATGAATTCTAATCAGTTTACTATTTCTGTCCTCTTCTAGTACACAGTCTTCTTTAAAGCTTAAATTTGGTACTTAATGAAAATTCTTATCCTTAAAAGCAGTAATTTCCATATTTTTCCTTTTTAGCAACCAAGTAAATGAGGGATAACACATAATAATGTCATTTCTTCTCAGCTTTTCATGAAGGAATTACTTCCTTTGCTTTATAATTGTGATTCAACAAGCCAATCTTATTAACTACAGCTTTGGAATTAGAATTGTTAAAACCTGCAAATTATAATAAGTTAAAACTGATTTTTATTTATTGTTTTCATACATAGAAACTTAATTCTTCCTTATGGATAAATGCTTCATAGATCTCCCATTGGCATGCATTTTTCCTTAGCTGAAATAGTGTTGCTTGTTCTTCAGACCATTGTATAATAAATAAAAAATGATAATATGTTTAGGAATACCAGGACTGAAGTATGTGAAAATGGTTCTCTATCTTTAGACTGTTAGAGTATTTGTAAGAGCTTTCTACCTATTTTGTCCTGTTTTTCTCATTAGGTTGCAGAACATATAATTCACAAATATTTTATATTTTAACCAAAAGTTAAGGAAGTGCTTAATATGCTTTTTAAACTGGAGTAAAAGTAACAAAATTGAAGATAAATCTGGTTGTACAATTCAGGTGATAATTTCTTAAAACTTAGCTAGGCTGTTAAATATTGCTAAGGGTGATTTTTCATTTTCCATGAACTGTGTGGGTTTTTTTTTTTTTTAAAGATTTATTTATTTTATGCATACAAGAGCTGGGATACAGTCCAGATATGTGTGGGGGTGTGTGTGAGAGGCTTCACCCAAGACAGAGTGGGGAGCAGAACAGGCAGATGTACTGAAATACACTGCTGAGCAGAATAGCGGGTGAGTCAGAGGAGGTCTGCTTTGCCATGTGGGTCACCTCCCTGGCCAGGGATCGAACTCCTGCTGCAGTGGCTGCAGATAGCTTCATAGTGCTGCATCTTAACCTCTTGCACCACCAGGGAGGCCCCTGTTTTTGTAGATACTGTAGACAGTCATTTTCACAGAATGATACTAGTATGTGATAGAGTATTATGTGGTTTTTAAAGGTTTTTATATACAATTTAAGTGCATGTGGAATTGTCATTTTGAAGTCTTGTAAACTCAGAGTCAGTCTTTAATCCTCCCACCCTCCCTCCCTATTTCATTCTTCACTGATCCCTATTCTCTGTGTGTGTGTGTTTGTGTGTGTGTGTGTGAGAGAGAGCGCGCGAGCGAGCGTGCGCACACACAGATGTTATTTTCTATTTTTGTTTTTAGATACTAGAGACAGAGTGGGAAACAGAACAGGCAGATCAACCCAAATACACTGCTGAGGGGAGCAGTGGGCGAGTCAGGAGAGGTCTGCTGCACCATGTGGTTAGCTCCCTGGCAGGGGATGGAACTCATGCTGCAGAGGCTGCAGATAGCTTCATAGGTTGCGTCTTAACCCCTTGCGCCACCAGGGAGGCCCTATCCCTATATAATTCTTCTCAGTGCTGTTGTAAAAAGGATTTTCTTAAATTTCACTTTTGGATTGTTTTTTTTTTTTTTTGTTAATGTGTGTAAATGCAACTAATTTTGTATGTGGATTTTGTATTGCACAATTTTATTGAATAAATTTATTAGTTCTAACAGGTATTTCGTTAGAATTTTTAGGATTTTTCTGCATCTCATTTGTGAGAGATAAATTTTACTTTTTCCTTTCCAATTTGTATGCCTTTTCTTTACTAATTATTTTTGCTTGTATGTGTCTGGCACTCTGTTGATATAAGCAGTGAGAACTGACAATCCTTACCTTATTTCTTATTTACTATTGAGTATAATGTTAACTGTGTGCTTCTCATAGATGACCTTTGCATTGTTGAGGTAATTTTCTTCTGTTACTAGTTGTTTGAGTGTATTTACCATGAAAGGGTCAAGAACTTTTTTCTGCATCAATTGAGATTATGTGATTGTTAATGTTCTGTTTCCCACTCTGTCTTCTAGTATCTAAAAACAAAAATAGAAAATAACATCTGTGTGTGCGCGTGCGCTTGCTCGCGCTCTCTCGCTCTCTCTTCTTTCTGTAATGCAAATCACATTGGTTGATTTTCATATGTTGAACCATTCCTCCATCACTGTGTATAAATTCCTGTTGGTCATGGTAATGGTTGGTCTTAACTTGGTTTTTCTGGTATTTTGTTAAGTTTTTTTGCATCTTTATTTTGCAAATAATATTTTGTTGAGGCCTACACTAGAGTGTAGGCCAGAGGTGGAGGGGTGGGGGGTTGGGTGGTGAAAGGATTCACTAGAGACACAGTGGGTAACAGAACAGGCCCATCTACTGAGATACACTACTGAGGGGAACAGCAGGCGAGACAGAGACAGGAGAGGTCTGCTGAGTAGTCTGCTTTAGCTCCCTGGCCTGGGATTGAACTCATGCCACAGTGGGTGGCAATTGCTTGACAGTGCTGAGACTTAACCCCTGCACTAGCAGGGAAACCTTGAGGTAGATTTTTAACCAATTTTAAAGTGTTTCTCCACTGGTAGTCTTTTTAGATATGGTGCCAAAATAGGAAGATGATTATACTCCTACAAAGAGAAAATCTCTAATGAGAGATCACACCATTTATTTGAAGTTAAAGGACATAATTTTAACATTGCTTTTGTGAAGGGTGGAAATGTTGTCAGTCTTCACTTAATCTCCTTTTGAAAATGAAAATTTGTTCCTCCGATACAGATTTAATCCTATGAATTTCACTGTGCATGCTCACACCTCCTTATTTCAATTTTGAAATAGTTTTTTTGTAAGTTTATCGTAATTGACAGCAAGCTAACCTGAATGGAGGTGAGGAAAATTATGGCTTTTTCTTATTCCGTGTAAATATTTATATATTTTGCTGCACAAATCAATTGTTACTAGATGGCACTGCAATGAACTCCACTGTTATATTTATCATACTTTATATAATTTGAGAACTTCTGATTGGTAGTACTCATCTGGCCCTAGTATTTTCACATACATGAATATGGACAACCTGTATCACCTGCCATAAGCTGTCTGATTTCCATAGTTGGAAAAATATAGGGCATGAATCAGTAGTATGAGGAATAAAGAACATGTTGCAATAACTTAATTATTAAGTTAGTACACGCCTAGCAAGAAGTTTAGTGTGTTCTCTAGGTTGGTAATAGTTGCTCAGAGCACTCATTGTCAATTTTGTGGTAGAATACCACAGTGATACCATGTATGCCAGAGGCGAGTCATGGGAGGTACAATAGGAATATGAGCCAAGTATTATCCATCCTACTCTGTCTTGAATATATGTTTACTAAATGAGCATTTTTATAAGGGCGCAAAACAGTCCATCTTTTTCTTATTTCTCTAGTCTCCCACAAAAGCTGTATATAATGCTAGACATTGGAACCATCCAGACTCAGAAGAACTGCCTGGTCCACCAGTCGTAAAACCTCAGAGTGTCACAGTAAGTGTACTGTAGTTTTTAAGTCCATGTTTGTTTAATAGATTATAAATTAATCTGCTATGATAATTTGGAAGTCTCTGATTTTTCTATTTAACTGTCTATTTTGGTCTTCTACACTGAAATTTAGTGGCTTTGATTTAATTCCTTGGAAAAGTGAGGATTGTGAACCAGGACAGCAAAAATTCTGGTACAGCTTCTACGTAATAAATAAAAACCTTAGAAAATATTGAATGACTTTCTACTCCACACCCACATTTTGTAAAATTACAATATCTAGTGTCTTAAGAGCAAATTATTCCATATTTGAAATATGTATTCGCTGTTAAAAACTACATTGTAAATCACATCTTGTACTGGTCTTAAGTGACTGAGTGCTTAATTTCAAAGGAGAACTTTCCCCCTGCATTTCAGTAATAACCTTTCAATTCAAAATACATTTGAAAGATTTTTTTTTTTTTTTTATTATTATTTTTTATAGAGGCATGCTTTATTTATTTGTTTGCTGGTTTGTTTGTTTATTTTGTTTATACATGCACTGGGTACAGTCAGAAGCGCGGGAGGGCGAGAGAATTCACCAGAGCCAGAGCGGGGAGCAGAGCAGGCAGAAGGACCGAAGTACACTGCTGAGGGGAGCAGCGGGCGGCAGGAGAGGTCTGCGCGCCATGTGGGACCCTCCTCTGGTGGCCGGGGAGCAGCCGGGGATCGAACCGGCGCCGCAGAGGCCGTGCGCAGCTTCGCAACCCAGCGCTCAACCGCTGCGCCACCGGGGAGGCCCTGAAAGATTTTTTTTTAAAAAAGGTTTATTTATTTATACGTATAAGAGCTGGGGTACAGGCCAGAGATGTGGGGATTGAGAGGATCCACCAGAGACAGTGGGGAACAGAACAGGCAGATTGGCTGAAATACACCAGTGAGGGGAGCAGCAGGCGAGACAGGAGAGGTCTGTTGCGCCTTGTGGGTTGCTCTCTGGCCGGCCGGGGATCGAATTTGTGCCGCAGAGTCGGGAGAAGCCTCTGAAAAGCAGGCTGGGGACTGCTTCATAGTGCAGTGCTTAACCCCTTGCGCCACCAGGGAGGCCCAAGATTTTTATTTTAAAGATTCATTTATTTATACAAGAACCGGTGTACACGACAGATGTGTGGAAGGGTGAGAAGATTCACCAGAGACAGTGGGGAACAGAACAGGCAGACTGAATAAAATACACTGGTGAGGGCAGCAGCGGGGGAGACAGGAGAGGTCTCCTGTGCCATGTGGGGTATCTCTGTGGCTGGCCGGGATCAAATCTGCACCACAGAGGCTACGCACAGCTTCACAGCGCTGCACTCAATCCTCTGTGCCACCAGGGAGGCCCTACATTTGAAAGATTTTTACTAAATTATTTTCTTCAGAATAACTGGTCTTATCATACATTAATACTTTAGATTAATGGTAATATCTCATGTCTGAAGCAATCAGTGAATGACTTCATAGAACTAGGGAAAAGTTAGAAATAAAGGTCTTTTAAGAATTTCCTGTCTTGAGTATATCAACTTGATTATTTATTATTTTGCTAATACAAAATCGTTCTGCATATTTATAATTTATACAATGTTGGACTATACTAATCTCTTCCTACGATTATTTCTACCCTAAACTGTAGACTACTTTGCTTTTATTTTTTAATTTTATTGTTTTTAAAGATTGATTTATTTATGCATACAAGAGCTGGGGCACAGGCCAGAGATGCAGGGGTGGGGGTGGTGAGAGGATCCACCAGAGACAGAGTGGGGAACAGAACAGGCAGATTGACTGAAATACACTGCTGAGGGGAGCAGTGGGTGAGATAGGAGAGGTCTGCTGCGCCATGTGGGTTTCTCCCTGGCCGGCCGGGGATTGAATTTGTGCTGCAGGGGCTGCGGATGGCTTCGTAGTGCGGTGCTTAACCCCTTGAGCCACCAGGGAGGCCCCTACTTTGCTTTTAAAGTAAAGTTTCCCTTTTGACTTTTCAGAGGCTTCTCCCCACCTTTTGTTTTCTTCTTGTTTGGCGTTTATCACTCTGGGTTTTTGAAGCTTAATTTGCTAGGTAATATTAATATTTTTATATATTTAAACAACTAATTTAATACCTTTATTAATAGGTAAGGCTGTCTTCAAAGGAACCAAATCAAAAAGATGATGGCGTTTTTAAGGCTCCTGCACCACCACCCAAAGTGATTAAAACTGTGACAATACCTACCCAACCCTACCAAGATATTGTTACTGCACTGAAATGCAGAAAAGAAGACAAAGAAGTAAGCAGACTTACACAGTTTTATTGCATATGGATAGATTTTTGTATGTAATGTTTAGCTTTTCAGCTGTCTTGAACAAGTATCAGTACACAGATAATCACATTTTTTAAATCATAAACTTATTGTGTCCTACCACTACAAATATTTTTTAGACATTTCATCTGATTGACATTAAGGAACTATTTTATATACATGTAAATAAAGTATATGTGCTGTTCATAATTACAAAAGAGTTGGACTTATTTTTTGTTGGCAGTTATATACTGTTGTCCAGCATGTGAAGCACTTCAATGATGTGGTGGAATTTGGTGAAAATCAAGAGTTCACTGATGACATTGAGTACTTGTTAAGTGGCTTAAAGAGCACTCAGCCTCTAAACACACGTTGCCTTAGGTAAGATCTTATGTTTATATTTGATAATATATGCTTGCTATATATATCTCATTAAAAATATTCAGCTGGATAGAACCATTTATGATTTTGTTATCATGGATGTAGTTTATGGCCTGTCATAGTCAGTTAAAATGTGTTTACTTATATAGAACATGATGCTACATGAATAAAGAAAATTTGGGTGACCTGTAGCCTTTTAGCATAGTAGTCTTCAGTTTTCCAGATGCTTAAAAAAAAGTGTTATGCTAAAGAATCTTTAAGTTCTCTTTCAGCCCAAATTTCTGGTCATGAAAGGGATAAATTAGTTTAAATATGTTGATTTAATTATCCAATCAGTTGAATCTATCCAAATATGATTTGTAATTTTCTTGTGACCAAACATTATAAAAGGTAGATGATTTGTGCTTTTTTTAATGGTGGTAATAAGGCATAATCTAAAGATGATCATGTAAATATAATTACTTGTATTTTTTAATAGGGCATACCAAATCACATTAGTAAATTCTTAATTTCTTTTGCCTGCGATTTTTATATTGTGATTTGTATGGGCAATGCTTTAAACCCTCCCCCCCCCCATTTGCTTGGTTTTGTATTGGGCAAACAAACTAATGCACTAGCTATTTTCAGTCCCTCTAATCTAGTGTATTTTTCTTCTAGTGTTATTAGCTTGGCTACTAAATGTGCCATGCCCAGTTTTCGAATGCACCTGAGAGCACATGGAATGGTAGCAATGGTCTTTAAAACATTGGATGATTCCCAGCATCATCAGGTATTTTTAAGTTTCTGAAATTGAGAAGCATTATTTAAAAGTTCTAGTCTATTTGGCTATCAAAAAATATCTTCATTGGATATTAATTTGTAATATTTCCTAATTAAGTTAGTTTTATTCATTAAATATGTAAAGCTTAATGCCATAAGTTTTGTGGCTTTTTTAAAAGATTTATTTATTTATGCATACAAGAACTGGAGTATAGGCCAGAGATGCAGGGGGCGCGGGAGGGGGAGATGACTCTCCAAAGACAGAATGGGGAGCAGAACAGGTGAATGTACTGAAATACACTGCTGAGAGGGGAGCAGTGGGCCAGACAGGAGAGGTTTGATGTACCATGTGGGTTAGCTACCTGGCCAGGCATCAAACTCGTGCTGCAGTGGCTAGTGATAGCTTATAGTGCTGAGACTTAACCCCTGGGCCACCAGAGAGACCCTATGCCATAAGTTTTTACTTAAAAAAATACTTAAGATTGGGCTTCCCGGTGGCGCAGTGGTTGAGCGCTGGGTTGCGAAGCTGCCGTTGACCTCTGCGGCGCCGGTTCGATCCCCGGCTGCTCCCCGGCCACCAGAGGAGGGTCCCACATGGCGCGCAGACCTCTCCTGCCGCCCGCTGCTCCCCTCAGCAGTGTACTTCGGTCCTTCAGCCTGCTCTGCTCCCCGCTCTGGCTCTGGTGAATTCTCTCACCCTCCCGCGCTTCTGACTGTACCCAGTGCATGTATAAAAACAAAACAAACAAACAATAAATAAATAAAAAAAAAAAATACTTAAGATTATTTTCTCAGACCGCTAATATACCTACTATACTAGCGATTTAATTCTGTTAACATTGATCCTTTTAATTGCAAAGTACTATGGAAAATCTTTTAGTATTTGATATTTACAGTGTGGAAAAATGGCTTTGAAATACAGCCTTAATTTTTTTTTTTCCTATAACATTTTATCTGGATGTAGAATCTAGGACATAACCCACTGTGAAAAGGAATAAATTCCTCATTTTCCATTATAACTGTCTTCTAAATTTTAGGCAGTAAAAATAATAATTTTGAAAGTAGAAGAAAATAGGCAGTGATCAAAAGGGGTATTTTGAGATAACTTGATTACCTTTTTGTTCAAGGAAGTTATGTTCCCAATACAGATTAAATGACATAATGCAGTAATGAGTCTGAATGAGGTAACTCCCATTACCACGTTTTATAGCATCTACAGAATAATGAGGGAGAAAACATGGGAGCTAAAATTAAACTTCTTTGTTTTATACTTATGAGAGGACCAATGTGTTCTGGAGGGCAGTGGATCTCCCATGGCCTATATTGAGACATCTTAATTTCCAAAAATAATTTTTGTATAAACATTAATTAACTAGTCTAAACTTTTCCTACTTTTTTTTTTTTTTAAAGATTTATTTATTTATTTATACAAGCACTGGGTACAGTCAGAAGCGAGGGAGGGTGAGAGAATTCGCCAGAGCAGGGAGCAAAACAGGCAGAAGGACTGAAGCACACTGCTGAGGGGAGCAGTGGGCGGCAGGAGAGATCTGCGCGCCATGTGGGACCCTCCTCCAGTGGCCCGCCCTCTCACCCTCCCGCGCTTCTGACTGTACGCAGTGCTTGTATAAATAAATAAATATTTAAAAAAACTAAATGTTTTTTTAAAAAGTATATTAATAATTTTTTAAATTAGTTGGTTCAAACAGACTTGATTCATTTATTTTAAAGATTTATCTATCTATCTATCTATCTATTTATTTATTTATTTATTTATTTATTTATTTATTTATTTATACAAGCACTGGGTACAGTCAGAAGCGCAGGAGGGTGAGAGAATTCACCAGAGCGGGGAGCAGAGCAGGCAGAAGGACCGAAGTACACTGCTGAGGGGAGCAGCGGGCGGCAGGAGAGGTCTGCGCGCCATGCGGGACCGTCCTCTGGTGGCCGGGGAGCAGCCGGGGATCGAACCGGCACTGCAGAGGCTGCGGGCAGTTTCGCAACCCAGCGCTCAACCGCTGCGCCACCGGGGAGGCCTTCATTTATTTTAAAGAAAGTGGTCCATGTGTTAATTTGATCATCCAAGGTTTATATACTATATCCTACAGTTTATAAAAACTCACTATTTTGCAGAAAGTAATAGCTAAATTGTGGGGAAAGATTTTAAAACATTCAGTTTATTGATTTAAAAAAAACTGAGATTTGATTTTATTATATCATAAGTATTAGATACACGTATTATAGTAGGATATATATTTTGTAAAGTTTTTTGTTTTTAAAGATTTATTTATTTATGCATACAAGAGCCAGGGAATAGGCCAGTGTTGCAGGGGGTGAGAGGATTCACCAGAGACAGAGTGGGGAACAGAACAGGCAGACTGACTGAAATACACTGCTGAGCGGAACATTGGGTAAGACAGGAGAGGTCTGCCTTGCCATGTTGGTTTCTCTCTGGCCCGCCAGGGATCGAACTCATGCTGCAGAGGCTGCGGACTGCCTCATAGTGTGGTGCTTATGCCTTGCGCCACCGGAGAGACCCTATATTCTGTACAATTTTTACTTAACTCAGAATGGCCAAAGATATGTAATTCTACTTACACTCTCCTTGCTTTGGGGTGTTCTTATGGGGAAGGTTTCTAGGAAGGAAAATTTTAAGCAAGTGATTATTTAATCTATGTTTCCTTAGACTATTGTAAAAGGGGGAAATTTTACTGAAAACATTTTCAGCATGTGCACAAATGTCAAAACGATGGTCTTATTTTTGAAATTGTCACTAATTGCTTTATATTACCCTTTTTTTTTTGGGTCTGTTGAAGAATCTCTCCCTTTGTACAGCTGCCCTCATGTACATATTGAGTAGAGATCGTTTGAACATGGATCTTGATAGAGCTAGCCTGGATCTAATGATTCGACTCCTAGAACTGGAACAAGATGCTTCTTCAGCTAAGCTACTGAATGAAAAAGACATGAACAAAATTAAAGAAAAAATTCGCCGGCTATGTGAAACTGTACACAACAAGCATCTTGATCTAGAAAATATAACGGTAGGTTCCTTCTTTCCACTATAAAATGAAAATATTTTAAGAATGTTTTTAATTAGTCATAGCAACTGTGTGACTTTGGGTAAATCATTTAACGTCTCGTAACCTCTCTTAGTTTACAGTGCAGCAAATTCTTGCAGGTTTTCTGCTTATAATTCCTAAACTAGCCCATTTGTATTTAAATTTCTTAACACTAATTTTCTATTGCATTTTGCCTTATCCTTTTTCTAGATTTTTTTTTTAAATGCAGAACCTACATTTAAGCTATTAAGAATTTGAAGTCTTGGGCCTCCCTGATGGCACAGGGGGTTAAGACGCAACCTACGAAGCTGTCTGCAGCCTCTGCAGCACAGGTTCGATCCCCAGCCAGGGATTTGCCCAACATGGCGCAGCAGACCTCTCCTGACTCGCCCGCTGCTCCCCTGAGCAGTGTATTTCGGTCAGTCTGCCTGTTCTGTTCCCTGCTGTCTGTGGTGAATCCTTCACCCCCCCACACCTCTGGCCTGTGCCCCAGTTTTTGTATGCCTAAATAAATAAATCTTAAAAAAAAAATCTTTATTAAAAAAAAAAAAAGAACTTGAACTCTTGCTTACTGTGGGCTTCAGGAATAAAGATTCAGAGGATTTGCAAGAGTCATTTTCAATGAATATTTTCTTACTCTGGAGTGTCTCAAGGTGTCTGATTAACTGCTTCAAAAACCCATGACTCAGAAGAAAGATTTCTGTGCACCTGCCCTCTTTCTTAGAGCACAGTCCCATATAATTGGAGTCATGGCTAGCTGCAGACCTCAACACTCAAAACAACTCCCCATGTTTAAGATGACTTACGTTGCCTTTGTTTGTTTCCAGTTATTTTAGCTTTTTCACTTGTAGAATCAGTAATACCCCAGAGGTTACTAGGCCTGTGAAGATAAAACTATTTAGGGCCTCCCTGGTGGTGCAAGGGGTTATTAAGATGCAACCTATGAAGCTCTCCACAGCCACTGCAGTACGAGTTCGATCTCTGGCCAAGGAGCTACCCACATGGCGCAGCAGACCTCTCCTGACTTGCCCGCTGCTCCCCTCAGCAGTGTATTTCAGTAGATCCCCCTGTTGTGTTCCCCACTTTGTCTCTGGTGAGTCCTCTCACCCACCACAACTCTGACCTGTACCCCAGTTCTTGTATGTATAAATAAATAAATCTTTAAAAAAAAAGAAAAAGAAGATAATTTAAACATTTTTCTAAACTGTTCTTAGTTAACCAAACTGAGGACTGTAGTGTTTGCATCAAAAATGGTAGAATATTTTGTGCTAGCCAGATACGATTTTGGGATGTTGCTCTGTTAAGGTAGAGTAGGGAATTGATTTGGATAGTGTGGGAATTAAGGGGAAAAGCAAGTTAACTTGAAATGGCAAGATACAAAATTGACATGTATTCATTCCTTTCTCTGACTAAAGTAGCTGCCATGATCAGATGGTGGATAAATGGTTCCTCTGTCTCGACAAATTATTTAAATATTGGGAATTTTTATTTACTTGTACTGTTTCTGCAATATATGCTATTTTTAAATGATATAAATAATACATTTGAACCTATAATTTGCTGCATAGCTGAATAAATTTAGCTTTATTTTTTTGCCTCCCATATTCTTCAAATTTTAGATTTTGTCTAGGCATTTGCTATTAAGTGGCATGATAAACCTGTTCATTGACCTTTTCCTCCATGGTTTGTTGAATTTATTAGGATGTCAAATACCAGTGTTGTAACCTTCTTACAACACTTCTTATCTTCTTTTTTTTTTTTTTTTGGTGGGACCCTCGCCAGTGGTTGGGGATTGAACTGGCGCTACAGAGGCTGCGGGCAGCCTCTCAACCCAGCGCTCAACCACTGCGCCACCAGGGGAGACTCACTTCTTACCTTCTTAAATAGTTTACTCACGATTAAAATTAAAACAGTTGCTATTTTTTTTAAGATTTATTTGTTTATTTTAAAGATCTATTTATACATACAAGAGCTGCGGTGTAGGCCAGAGGTGCGGGGGTGGTGAGAGGATTCACGAGAGACACAGTGGGAAGCAGAACAGGTAGATCCACAGAAATACTTGGCTAAGGGGAGCAGCGGGCAAGTCAGGAGAGGTCTGCTGTGCCATGTGGCTCAGCTCCCTGGCCAGGGATCGAACACATGCTGCAGTGGCTGTCGATAGGTTCATAGTGCTGAGACTTAACCCTTGTACCACCAGGGAGGCCCCTAAAAGATTTATTTTTATTTATTTATGCATACAAGAACCGGGGTGTAAGGTGAAGGTGCGGGAGGGTGAGAAGATTCCCCAGAGACAGTGGAAAGCAGAACAGTCAGATTCACAAAAACACACCGCCGAGGGGAGCAGCAGATGAGACAGGAGAGGTCTGCTGTGCCATATGTGGGTCAGCTCCCTGGCTGGGATCAAACTCATGCCTCCATGACTGGTGATAACTTGATAGTGCTGAGACTTTATCCCCTGTGCCACCAGGCTCTAACAGTCCACCCTTGAACCTCTGTTCTAAACAATAACATCAGTACATATTTTATTGAACAGTTAAGTACTTAAATATTTTTTTTAAAGATTTATTTATTTATGCACAAGAGCTGGGGTACAGGCCAGAGATGGGGGGAGGGTGAAAGGATTCACCAGAGACAGAGTGGGGAGCAGAACAGGCAGACTGGCTGAAATACACTGCTGAGGGAAGCAGTGGGCGAGACAGGAGAGGTCTGCTGCACCATGTGGGTTGCTCCCTGGCCGGCCAGGGATTGAACTCGTGCTGCAGAGGCTGCGGATCGCTTCATAGTGCGGTGCTTAACCCCTTGTGCCACCAGGGAGGCCCCCTGTCGGGTACTTTAAATGGTGGATTTTTTCTGTTAAACCAAGCCAGTGTTATAATAATTTCTTCAGCTCAGACTTTTCTGATAAAATTTAAAATTAGTTCACTTCTACTTCTAAAAGTATTTCCTATAATAGAAAAAAAAAAAGTGGGGCAGGTCAAATGCAGTGAACTTTCGTATAGCGAAACAAATGGCTAGAACTTTGCTAAGAGTCAATATTGCTAAGAGTCAGTATTCATTAATGGTGCTTGTGATTTTTTTAGACCGGCCATTTAGCAATGGAGACATTGCTGTCCCTCACTTCTAAACGAGCAGGAGACTGGTTTAAAGAAGAACTGAGACTTTTGGGTGGTCTGGATCACATTGTAGATAAAGGTATTGTATGCATGCTTATAATATTTTAATATACTATTTAAAGCCTGAAGAAAATAATTTTATTTAAATAATTCAGTAATAATTGTCCTTTTGTAGAAATCCTGTGTCAGCTTTTAATTTAAGATGATCTATATATTTTTCTAATCATTTAAAGGAAAGGCCTATAACAATTTGATATTGGGTTTTATGGAAATAAGGTTATAATAAAATGGAATCTCATACATTTTAATATTTCATAGTATAAGCCAGAATAAAGTTCTGAGAGGTTCTAGCATATGTACTCACAATTTTTAATGTAATTTAAGCTTAGGTAAGTGTGGAGATGATGAATATACTAACATTTATCCATTTCATTTTTCCTAGTGAAAGAATGTGTAGATCACTTAAGTAGAGATGAGGATGAAGAGAAACTAGTAGCCTCACTCTGGGGAGCAGAGAGATGTTTACGAGTTTTGGAAAGTGTAAGTATGGACAGCTACTTGTTTTGATTTTGGTTCCCAAGTTTTATTCACAAACTCATACAAAATATTCCAGATAAATGAGCTTTAATCTTCATCTTCCTCCTCTTTATCCTGGTTAATCTGGAAATAATGTAATTTGTAACCTCCTTGCTGTTGGCAGGTACATCTAACCAATCACACAAGTGATTATTCTTCAGATACTCTTTTTTTGGTGAGATAATTTCAAAAACCTTTTAGAAAAAGGCACCTCAGAAGTTACAGTGATCTTGTTCTTGCTTTAGTCAATGGTCACACCCCTCCACTGCTTTCCCTTTCACTTTGATTCTCTCCTGAAGTAACTGCTCAAAATTGACAACATGCATGATTCATTTTCAAGGGTGGGTGTAATCAAGGGTGCACTTTAGAACCTGCTTTTTTTTTCCTTTTGTCCCTTTGTCACAGTTTTTTCATGGACCCCCATGGTAGCAGTGGAGGCAGAAAGGGTTGGACAGCTATTTGGGGAAAATAATCTTAATCATGACTGAGTTTGTGTGAGACTGCCAAATATTTTCACATTGGTTAATCCAAATTGAAATTGTAACACATTCTTTTAGCAACCAATGTTAATGAACAAATTTAATGAGCAGCTTAATTTTGAGAGAATATGCATATTGTTCCATGTGAAAGTCAAGTTTGTTATATTGCAAAATATTAATATTCTTAATGTGTAATTTTGCTTAAATATATTTACTTGTTTGTGAAAAATAATAGTTAAATCTAGTCAGGGTTTTTTTTTTTAAATTAAGGATTTTCTCTATTTAGCTATTTGAGACAGTTTGTAATAAAATTTGACTTTGAAGTATGATACCTGTTATATGTCAAAGTATATTTGTTTTTTGGATAATAGTAATGACTTAACCTGGATCAGCATTGATTAGAATTCAAGCTGTCTCTGAATTTCAGGGTCATAGATTGTGTTACCACATTTTATTTGCTGGGTATTGAAATTGAAATAGCCTGTTCTCTCTTCTAGTATTTCAGTTATATTGGATAACAGATAAAATTTTAATAATTCTGAATGAACCCACTTAGGCACTTTAAAGTATCATTTGCTTATAAATTGGAAACTCTTCTTTTCTTACTTTCAAAGTGGTTGGTAGTTCATTACAGTGAATATTTAGTGTAGAAAATGTTAATTAAGAACAAGCACTTAAAGCAGTGATGTTTTAATTGTGTAATAAATCAGTGGCTCTATTATATTAAATCTAAACATGTGGGTTTTTATTTTCTTAGATATAAAGGGCTGACTTACTCATGTTAGAGAACTAGACATAGTGTTTTATATATGAATGAATGAAAATTATAGATTGCCACACATCATTTCAAATTTTCACTTTTAGGTAACGGTGCATAATCCAGAGAATCAGAGCTACTTGATAGCGTATAAAGATTCACAACTCATTGTTTCATCAGCTAAGTAAGTTTTCTGAAATATTTTATCTACTTAAAACATTTGGATTGGTCATAAAGTAAAATACAATATGTATGTTATGTAAATATTGTGGATTATATGTAACATTTAAAAATAGAAACTAATGCATATTTTGAATTATTTTTTTAAGATTTATTTATGCATAGAAGAACTGGAGTGCAGGCCAGAGGTTTGGGGAGGGTGAGAAGATTCACCAGAGACAGAGTGGGGAACAGAACAGGCAGACTGACTGAAATACACTGCTGAGGGGAGCAGCGGGCGAGACAGAAGTCTGCTGTGCCATGTGGGCAGCTCTCTGACTGGCAGGGATTGAAGTCGTGCTACAGAGGCTGCAGATAGCTTCACAGTGCTGTGCTTAACCCCTGTGCCACCAGGGAGGCCCAATTTTTAATTATTTTAAACGTGTGTTGCCTATAATAATACGTAAATATATAGAAATGCATATTGTATGACAAGTGTATGTATATATGTATGTGTGTGAAACCTAAAGTAGTGTTTGGCATGTAATTAACACTTAATAGTCCTTATTTTATTATAAATGAACTTTACTAGATCTGGTCTGCACTTTATTTATACCTGTTTTCCCAGACCTGTATCTAGCTTCCCCATTCCACACTCTTCCCCATTTGCCTTGCATGACAGCTGGCCAGTGCTATCACCTCAGTGATGTAAAATTTCCAAATATGTCTGCAGTCCTGGTTCTAGCTTGGTACAACAGCCTCTTTCTATCTTTATCCTATTTTTTGGTGTCTCTGCCCTACTTCTCTGACCTCTAACCTAGCATAAAACTACAGGGAGTTAACCTTTTCCAAATCTCTGCTTTGTAAAAATAAGCCCTAATTCTTATGATTTCTTATTATCTTTAGGTATATGTCCTAAGTCCCTAGAGTAGTATCAAAGGTCCACTACAGTCTAACTCAAGTTTATGGGTTTTTTTTTTTTTAACCTTTTATTTTGGAGAATTTCAAGCATAGACAGAAATAGACAAATTGTATGATAAGCTCCAGTATACATGTCAGTCAGCTTAAATAAGTACCAATCATGGCCATTCTTATCTCCATCTGTAATGCTATATATTCCCTGTTCTATATTTTGTAGCAAATTACAGATTTCATATTTCATCTGCAAATATTTGCTTATATAATCTCTAGGAGGACCCTAAAAATATAGTCATAATACCATTTTCATACCATAAAAATTAATCACTTAATATCATATATCTAGACAGTGTTCAAATTTGTAGTAGTCTCTGCTATCTTTAATCTATAAGGTTTTTTCACATCTCTTTTTGTCTTGCATCTTAAATTTTCTGTCATACTGAGTCCCCTTAAAAGCATGTATTCTAATTGTTACCATGTTTTACCTTCCCTTACCAAAAGAATATTCTTACTAGTTAAATCTGTCAGTTTTCAAAATGCCTGTATATATATCAAGATCTCTGACAGGCACCTTTTTAAGAGAAGTTATTTAATACAACAGCCCTATTGTAGTAGAGATGGTAGTAGATGGTACTATATGGTAGTAGAGATCAGAATTAGATGTGTTTGATAGAGCATTCATCTGACTTTCACACACATACATATATATGTTTCAATAGAACCCTGGTAAATATAGGGATCCCATATTGCAAGATTAATATATCCCTGTCATTCTCCCTTGCATTTCCCAACCAAAACCACAAGTTAGCACCATCCCATATAAGGCACTTAACAACAAAAGCATGGTAATTCTGGCCAGCATCCCCAACCATCCTAATGATTTATTTTAGAATAGACAGGAGGAACACTTCATGTCTACTAAAGGGTACGTTTTGCTCTAATCAAAGGATATGTTTTCAAGAGCAGCTAGAGGGTGATTTACATATAGTACAGTTTTCATTAAGGGTTTCCTGTGGTATAAAATACAGAAAAAATCAGTTGACACAATCAATTTACCTTCTCTCTCATAGATTTTATCTTTTAATTTATGGACTTGGTGATTTAGAAAGTTTTCAGAAATACTAGATTATTTAAGAATCATGTTTCCTTGTTATTTGGGTTAGCATCTTGAGAATTCTTGGGTGCACCTAATAGGCTTGTGTGGCTGGCTAGGAAACAAGCTAACTGACCTCATGTTAAAAAACATGATTTGCATTAATGCTTATAAAATGTTTAATACCTGTTTATACAAGGTCATTTTATTATGAAATAATAATAGTATATATAATATTCTACCTGCTAAGCACTTGCATTCTATTTTTGTTTTAAAGATTTATTTATTTATGCATACAAGAACTGGGGTACAGGCCAGAGGTGCGGGGGGCGGGGCGGTGAGAGAGAGGGTTCACAAGAGACAGAGTGGGGAACAAAATAGGCGAGTTGACTGAAATACACTGCTGGAGGGGAGCAGCGGGCTGCGGATATCTTCATAATGCTGCAACTTAATCCCTTGCCCTACCAGGGAGGCCCCAAAACACTTGCATTCTAAATGAAAAAAGCATGTAAATGAAATTCAGAAGTGTCCAGTGTTAGCTCTTAAAGATTTCACCTTGTTTGGGGAGGGGTTGTGGTAGGTCTGTTGTGTTGGAGAGATTGGTAAAATGGGGAACAACTCATGGGAAATAAGGAGCCGACTAATAGTAGAGTAGGTAGTATAGATATAAACTTTTGCATCCATCATTTTTAAAATTGCTTAGAAAATTTAAAATTGTGTTTTTCCTAAATCAAATTTACTACCCAGTGTGGTATTAGACATACTTGGTATATAGCTGACTTGTTAATACATTAGAATTTCTGGAAAACAAAAATGATTTTGATAGTATTTATTACAAATTAAAAAAAAAACTATTATCTAAGTAAAAATAAGTTCTTAGTATAGTTATTTTTTTGTTTAGCTTAACAGTCTTAATTTTTGTTTTCTCTTTAGAGCATTACAACATTGTGAAGAATTGATTCAGCAATATAACCGAGCTGAGAATAGTATATGTTCACCTGACAGTAAGTCTCTGCCTCACCAGAATGTAACTAACCACGTGGGCAAAGCAGTGGAAGATTGCATGAGGGCCATCATTGGGGTGTTGCTCAATTTAACCAATGATAATGGTAAGTCATTTTTTCATTATATTCTCATTGAAAGATTGCATAGTAGAAGTAAAAGCAAATTATTTCTATTTGTATCTTTTTCCTTGTAATTATTCATATATGAATTTAACTGCTCATAGAATTTGCTATTTTTAGAATCAGTTTAGAGCCATTTGATATTTTTAGCTTGACTTTGAAATATTATAGTTCTAACAGTGTATTTCACTAAAGGAATACTAACACATTTTCTAACTTTAATATTCATTTTATTTTGATTTAATTTATTTTATTTTTTGTGGGACCCTTGCCGGCGTCCGGGGATCGAATTGGTGCTGCAGAGGCTGCGGGCAGCCTCGCAACCCAGCGCTTAACTGCTGCACCACGAGGGGAGGCCCTTAATACCCATTTTAATAAATAGTTGTTGTGACAAAGAAAAATGAAAACAGCTTTTATACTCTTCCCATTCTTTGTTTCAGAGTGGGGCAGCACTAAAACAGGAGAACAGGATGGCTTGATTGGCACAGCAATGAACTGTGTGCTTCAGGTTCCAAAGTACCTACCTCAGGAGCAAAGATTTGATATTCGAGTGCTGGTGAGTTGAAGTGACTTTCAGAAATGCATGCTTGAACCTAGTAAAATGATGAGAATGTCTTTTTTGCCTTGAAGAGTCAGTTGTTTGATGTATGTTTCAGTGGGTTCCTTATGAACATACCTCTTACTGTACTAAAGAAAGCCATGACAGGGCCAATGTAAAAAATAAAAAGAAGGTAACTAACAGGGATTAAAAAGTAAATCTTTTTTTTTTTTAAGATTTATTTATTCATGCATACAAGAACCAGGGTACAGGCCAGATGTGTGAGAGGAGGGTGAGAGGATTCATCAGAGACAGAGCAGGGAACAGAACAGGCAGGCTGACTGAAATACATCGCTGAGGTGAGCAGCAGGCGAGACAAGAGAGGTCTGCTGTGCCATGTGCGTATCTCGCCGGTTGGCTGGAATCAAACCCATGCTGCAGAGGCTGCAAACGGCTTCACAGCACTGCGCTCAACTGCCTGCGCCACCAGTGGTGGCCCAAAAATTAAATCATTTTAAAAAAAGATTTAATTATTTCTTTATACATAAAAGAACTGGGGTGTAGCGGGTGAGACTTTTCACCAGAGATAATAGGCAGGGGAGCAGAATTGGCAGATCTACTGAAACATACTGCTAAGGGGGTACTGGGGCTAGACAAGAGAGGTCTGCTGTGCCATATGTGGATTAGCTCCCTGGCTGGGGATGGAACTGAGGCCATCACGTGCCCTCTCGGTGACAGTGCTAGACACTTAATCCCTATGCCACCAGGGAGGCCTAAAAATTAAATCATTCTTTTGGAAGGCTACAGTCATACATGATGACTTTGAACCAGTTTTTTGTTTATAGAACAGATAATAGGTTTCTAACTACCACTGAAAGTTATGCATTTTGTACTCATTTGCTTTTAATTCTCTTTAATTTTTTGTAGGGTTTAGGTCTACTGATTAATCTAGTGGAGTATAGTGCTCGGAATCGGCATTGTCTTGTCAACATGGAAACATCGTGTTCTTTTGATTCTTCCTTTTGTGGTGGAGAAGGAGATGATAGTTTAAGGATAGTAGGACAAGTTCATGCTGTTCAGGCTTTAGTTCAGGTAAGCAATAACTTAACACCTTTGATTTGTTGTACCTGTCCAATTTCTTTATCAATTATACCTTCTTTTCCTCCCTCTTCCCCTCCTGCACCAGTCAGCGATCTTAGGTAAACTGGGTTATAGTGTGCCATTATTTTACTCTGCTAGTTGTCTTCAACTGTGTAATGACTCATTAGGCATTGTTAACAAAAAGCAGAAGGCATATTTATGTCTCACAAATAGATCATTAGCAACAAATTAGGACTCAGTCTCTAGCTCCATCCCATCCAGATAAATTCCTCCAATATATACTATCTGATCTGTGCCTGGACTATGAGTAATTTCCTGACTTAGGAATTATGTCAGAATATACACACTTAAAATTCATGTCCCCATCTTTTCCCACCCCGATCACCAAACACACACCACCACATCTCCAGTATTATTTATTTATTTTTTAAAGATTTATTTATTTATACATACAAGAACTGCAGTACAGGCCAGAGGTGTGGGAGGTGAGCGGATTCACAGAGTGGGGAGCAGCACAGGTAGACTGACTGAAATACACTGCTGAGGGGATCGGCGGGCAAATCAGGAAAGGTCTGCTGTGCCACATGTGTCAGCTCCCTGGCCAGGGATCGAACTCGTGCTGCAGTGGCTAAGGATAGCTTCATAGAGCTGCGTCTTAACCCCTTGTGCCATCAGGGAGGCCCCACATCTCCAATTTTACTTCCCCACCAAAATCTGTATATGTCCTTGTATCTTGACAATGTTGGGCATTAAAATTTTTGCCCATTTAGTGGGTTCCTAGCTACCTTTGTCACTTCCTTAAGTGATAGTTTGTACCTGTTTAGAAGCAGTAAGGAACCATCCCATTCATTGTTTCCAAAGCCATTACCAACCTGTTCACCCTTTTTATTTTTAAAACCTGTACTGCTGTCTTCAGAAACAGCTTCATTGTTTTGAGTCATGAGTAGCCCATCAACTTCTCAAACATTTTGATCTCATTACTTTATATTCTTAAAAACGGTTAGGAATCCCAAGAACTTTTGCTTTCTATTGATATTTACTGAATTAGAAATTAAAACTGAGGTAATTATAAAACAGAGGCACTTGTTTTGTTACCCATTGAAGCGATAAGTCAGTTGACTTCTTTAATACTATTATGAATATAATTTTGACCTCACAGATTTCTTGAAAGGAGCGCCAGAAACCCTGGGAATTTCTTGAGCCAACTTTAAGAAATTTTGCATTATATAAAGCTTAAATTTATTTTTTAAGAGTATTAAACTTTATATACAAACTCTTCTATATAACAAGCAAATCTTTGAGTTCTACTTGGCATTTAACTTTCAGATATTTGTATTTAACCCCAAATCATAACAGTGAGTATATTAAATGTTTTCTGTATTTCAACACTATACCAGCAGAGAGGGAAGGAAAAGGGAAAATGAAGTAAGTGAAGACAAGGGATTTGGTGTGTTCCCTGTTGACTAAGAGTTTTTAATGTGAACTTTCACTGACAGTTATACTTCCATTGTCAGTACCAGTTGAGCTACAGTTCTGGGTTTTTCTCTGAGACCTTTCCTTCTTATTTTTACTGATTGTTGTTTATCTTTTTGAATTTCTTTCAATGAAGTCATGTTCCTTTTCCCCAATGTTAAATAGTTTTACTCAATGTTCTTTCTTCCTTCCAGTCTGCTCATGAAATTTTTTTTAATCAAGTCTGTTTTTTTTTTTTGTTTGTTGTTTTTTTTTGTTTTTTGTTTTTTTGCCTTGAATTTCCTGTCATATTCAAATTAAGGGGCAAACAGTATTAAGACTTTCATTTTTACAAACAATGCCTGCATCATTGGTAGATACACTTAACTTGATTCACTCTCAGTAGCACTTACACTTTGGTTTTGGTCTCTAATAGGATCTAGAGCACGGGCTTTTACTGGTACCCTTTTTACTAGACAGCATGCTTCTTAGAGCTATTGATGCTTAAAAGCAAACAACCTTTTATTTGGGTACACACATGTTGATTGATGATCTTCTCTTTTTAATGATCTTCAAAAATAATTTTTATCAGCTATTCCTTGAGCGAGAGCGAGCAGCCCAGTTGGCAGAAAGTAAAACAGATGAGTTGATCAAAGATGCTCCCACCACTCAGCATGATAAGAGTGGAGAGTGGCAAGAGACAAGTGGAGAAATACAGTGGGTATCAACCGAAAAGACTGATGGTACAGAAGAGAAACAGAAGAAGGAGGAGGATGATGAAGAACTTGACCTCAATAAAGGTATAATTATTTTGAGTGGTGTATTCAAATTGAAAATAATGGTTTGATTTTATTTTCTCCTAAACATACTTTATGTGTTGTCATAATCTTGCTATTTTTCTGGTGCCTCTAAAGTGCTGACAAGCTTTGAAATTACAGTGCTCATAGGTGTTCTTTGCTGGCTTCTCAAAAGTGAGGGGAGGCACATATATAGGTCTGCCTAACCAAGTCACTTTTCCTCCTGGACCAGCCTTTATTTACTCATCTCTAAAGAGAAGTGACTGAACAATATGACTGTTAAAGGCAAACAATTTTGAAATTTTGAGAGTCTTTTATTTTTCCCTTACTTCATGAACAGGTATATTTGTCATAAACTACAGTAATACTTCTGAAATGGCATATAGTAGGTGGCAAACACAGTAAGGAATACACTAAAGGTAATGTCTTCATTAATCAAACATTACTATTGTACAGAATGGTATTCCGAATGGTATACTTGATTTCATACCAATTCTACACAAAAGCCATTTGTAAGATATTACTGAAGTTTCAAAGTTGAAGTAATATGTTCAGCCTTACCCAACTAGGAAGCAACCTCCAGCATTGCTTGATTCTGAGTCTAATCTTTTTGTCTTATAGATAACCAACTTAGCTCAGTTTTCACATGGTCTTCCCTTTTTTTATGAAGCCATCAGTCATACTAGGATTAGGACTCATCCTAATTATCTCATTTAAACTACCTCTTTAAAGATCTTCCCCAGGCACCGCAGACTTCTCCTGTCGTGCCCGCTACTCCCCTCAGCAGTGTATTTTGTCAGTCTGCCTGTTCTGTTCCCCACTCTGTCTCTGGTGAATCCTCTCACCCTCCCACACATCTGGCCTGTACCCTGGTTCTTGTATAAATAAATAAATCTAAAAAATGGCACTTCCCCAGTGGTGCAGAGGTTGAGCGCTGGGTTGTGTCTGCAACGTCAGTTTAATCCCCAACCACAGGGTGAGCATCCCACATGGCGCACAGACCTCTCCTGCCACCCGCTGGCTGCTCCCCTCAGCAGTGTATTTCGTCAGTCTGCCTGCTCTGCTCTGCTCTCCACTCTGCCTCTGGTGAATTCTCTCACCCTCCCGCGCTTCTGTCTGTACCCAGTGCTTGTATAAATAAAATCTTTAAAAATAAATAATAAACAAACAAATGAATAAATAAAGCTCTTTGCCAAATGATATCATATCCTGAGGTGTACTGGAGGGTAGGAGGTCAGCATATGAATTGACGGTAGGAAGGAGGAGCCAGTTCAGCCCATAAGATAAATTTCATGTACTATAAAATCCACCCTTTTTTAAATTATTTTATTTTATTTATTTTTACTTTGTTTTTTTATTATAAATTTTATTTTTATATTCCCCATACAATTACAACCCCTTTATTTTGACCCCAATCCCTCCCCTTCCTGCCCCCCACCTCCATAGAGTGTCTCTGGTTCATAGTTGTTTGTTGATTTTGATTTTTACTTTCTTATAATTATTCTTTTCCCTGGTCCCTTATTTAAATTTTCTAGATTCCTGCTATGAGTGAGACCATCCAGTATTTTTCTTTTTCTTTCTGGCTTATTTCACTGAGCATGATCCCTTCCAGCGCCATCCATGTTGCTGCAGATTGCATGTGTTTATCTTTTTTGAATGCTGAGTAATATTCCATGGTGTATATGTACCACATCTTCTTGATCCAGTCATCCATTTTTGGGCATTTGGGTTGTTTCCAAAGCTTAGCTATTGTAAACAGTGCTGCTATAAACATAGGGGTGCAGGTGCTCTTTGGAATTGATGTTTCTGTGTCCTTTGGGTAAATACCTAGGAGTGGAATTGCTGGATCATATGGAAGCTCTATGTTTAGTAGGTCCAGAAATCTCCACACAGCTCTCCATAGTGGTTGGACCAGTTTGCACTCCTACCAACAGTGCAGGAGAGTTCCTTTTTCTCCACAACCTCGCCGGCATTTGTTGTTGCTAGTTTTTTTTTTTTTTTTTTTTTAAAGATTTATTTTTTTATTTATGTATATAAGAACTGGGTACAGTCAGAAGCGCTGGAGGGTGAGAGAATTCACCAGAGCCAGAGCGGGGAGCAGAGCAGGCAGAAGGACCGAAGGACACTGCTGAGGGGAGCAGCGGGCGGCAGGAGAGGTCTGCGCGCCATGTAGGACCTTCCTCCGGTGGCCGGGGAGCAGCCGGGGATCGAACCGGTGCTGCAGAGGTTGTGGGCAGCTTCGCAACCCAGTGCTCAACCGCTGCGCCACAGGGGAGGCCCGTTGCTAGTTTTTTTAATATGTGCCATTCTCACTGGTGTAAGATGGTATCTCATGGTAGTTTTGATTTGCATTTCCCTGATTACAAGTGATGTTGAACATTTTTTCATATGCCTGTTGGCCATTTGCATTTCTTCTTCAGAGAAGTTTCTTTTTAACTCTTCTGCCCATTTTTTGACTGGATTATTTTCTTTGTTTTTGTTGAGTCTCATCAGCTCTTTGTAGATTTTTATGATCAGTCCTTTATCATTAGTGTTGTGTGCAAAAATGTTCTCCCAGTAGGTGGGGTTTCTCTTTGTTTTGGTTATTGTCTTTTTTGCTGTGCAGAAGCTCTTTAATTTGATATAGTCCCAGCTATTTATCTTTGCCTTCACTATCACTGCTTTGGGTGATGTGTCTGTAAAGATGTCTTTGATGTGCTTATCATGTAGTGTTTCGCCTATATTTCCTTCTATGTGTTTTATGGTTTCAGGTCTTATGTCTAGTTCTTTAATCCATTTTGAGTTGATTTTTGTGTTTGGTGTGAGGTAGTGGTCAAGCTTCATTCTTTTGCATGTAGCGACTCAGTTTTCCCAGCACCATTTATTGAACAAACTTTCTTTGCTCCAATGCATAGTCTTTGCTCCTTTGTCAAAGATTAGTTGACCATAAATCTGTGGGTTTATTTCTGGATTTTCTATTCCATTCCATTGGTCTGTGTGTCTGTTCTTGTTCCAATACCATGCAGTTTTGATGATTATGGCTTTGTAGTATAGCTTGAAGTCTGGGCATGTGATGCCTCAATTCCCTTCTTTTTTTTTTTCAGGAGAGCTTTGGCTATTTGGGGTTTTTTGTGATTCCATATGAATTTCATCAATAATTGTTCTATTGCTTTGAAGAATGACATTGAAATTTTGATTGGAATAGCATTGAATCTGTATATTGCTTTTGGTAGGATGGCCATTTTAATAATGTTTATTCTTCCAATCCATGAGCAGGGGATGTCTTTCCATTTCTTTGTGTCTTCTCTGTTTCTTTTAACAGTGTTTTATAGTTTTCTTTGTATAGGTCCTTTACCTCTTTTGTTAGATTTATTCCCAAGTATTTGATTTTTTTTGTTTCGATAATAAAAGGGATGGTTTTTTGATTTCTTCTTCTTCAGATTTATTGTTTGTGTATAGGAAGGCTACTGACTTTTGCATGTTGAAAATCCACCCTTTTAAAGTAGTATTTGTTGGGCCTCCCCGGTGGCGCAGCGGTTGATCGCTGGGTTGCGAAGCTGCCCGCAGCCTCTGCAGCGCCGGTTCAATCCCCGGCTGCTCCCCGGCCACCAGAGGAGGGTCCCACATGGCGCGCAGACCTCTCCTGCCGCCCGCTGCTCCCCTCAGCAGTGTACTTCGGTCCTTCTGCCTGCTCTGCTCCCGCTCTGGCTCTGGTGAATTCTCTCACCCTCCCGCGCTTCTGACTGTACCCAGTTCATGTATAAACAAACAAAAACAAACAAACAAATAAATAAATAAAACATGCCTCTATTAAAAAAAAATAAAGTAGTATTTGTTATATTTACGAGGTTATCCAACCACTCCCACTAATTTTAGAATTTCTTCGTTACCAAAATAAATCCCATAGCAGCCACTGCTCTTGTTCTCCCTTCCCCTAGTTATTGACAACCACTAATACAAGAATCTGTCTCTGGAATTGTCTATTCTGGATATTGCCTATAAATGAAATAATAGGTTGCCCTTTGTGGCAGACTTCTTTCACTTAGCCTAATGTTTTCATTGTTCATGTTGTAATGTCATTGCTTAATTGGTTTTTTATAGCCACATAATTTTCCTGTGTATGTGTAGAGCACATTTTGTTTAGTCATTAGTTGATGTGCATTTGGGTTGTGTCTACCTTTTGACTTACGAATAATGCTTCTATGAACATTAACGTACAAGTTTTTGTGTGAACATAGGTTCTTAGTTCTCTTGGGTATATATCTAAGAGTGGAATGAATTGCTGATTTGTCAGCTCTTTGTATTATAAGGAACTGCCAAAATGTTTTCTAAAGTAATTTTACCGTTTTCTTCCTGTCATCAAACACTAAAGTTCTAGTTTCTCTTCATCTTTTTAATTTTAGCCTTCCTAGTGGGTGTGAAGTGATAAATCACTTTATTTCTTTATTTGCCACTGCCAGTTCCCTTAAAACGGTATTGAATGTGTTTCCACATGCTTGTTGACCATTTATGTATTTTTGGAGAAATGTACAGATTTTTTGTGCATTTGAGTTGGGTTGTCTTTTTTTTGTTGTTGAGTTGTAAATATTTTTTACATTTTCTAGATACTTGACCCTTATAAAATTACGTCTTTTGTAGATATATTCTTTGTGTGTCATTTTGTGAATTATCTTTTTAATTTCTTGATCTTTTAAGAATTTTATTATTTTAGAGCGCGTATTTAATCCCTGTTTTATTTTGAGTTGTTTGTTAAATTGTGTGGATTTTCAGTTTTCATAGCAGGTTAACTGGTGATTACCAGTTTTTTTTTTTTAAAAGATAATGGACAGAGTTGTTGGTTTCCTGGTTTTTTAATTTATTTTTTGATAAATCTGTTACAATTTGTTTAAATATTCTCAGCCCTTCAGCATGCTGGCAAACACATGGAGGATTGCATAGTGGCCTCATATACAGCGCTGCTTCTTGGGTGCCTCTGCCAGGAGAGTCCAGTAAGTAATAGTTCAGTAATAGTAATAGTTGTGATAGCTTCATGCCATTAACTAATATATTTATTGTTCTGTTTTCCTCTTAAAGTTAAAAACTATTTGGTGAACTTGAAGGGGATACTCCAAAATAAGAATATGTTGGGCTTATATTGGGCTATTGAATGATAAGTGAATTGATAGATGAATCAATTCATATGTAAAAAAAGCATAATATAAAATCTGCACTCATTTTACTTTGGGAAAGTCTCATTTAGTTTAAATGCTTCAGAAGCTTCCCCTTTTCTTATGTCCCCAGATTTTAGGACAACATATTTTTAGTGAACAATCTTAGAAGTGGTTTCCTCTTATTCTTTAAGCACCTTTAACACATTTTTAAATTATATTGAATTAAAACAATTTTTTAAGGCCATATTTTCCTTTTAACAAATTGGCTCCTTCTTTGTACCAATGAAGAGAAACACCTTTATCTCCTCTCCTGATGTTGCTAATAGTCTCCTCATAAATAGATTACCTTTGGGAACTCTGCTTAATTCCTGGGCTACATAATTAAATTCGCCTGTGGAACATGAGTCTGTTTTTTTATTCTGCAAGCAGGTCTGTGAGTATATTAAGTATATTTAAAGTCTGTACTCCTTGCCCTTCCTCTTCTGTCACCCCCAGCTCAAGCACACACACCTCTATTCAATATATTTTATATTATTTGAGGCATTTTTTAAGAGTAAATACACAGAAATGTTTCTTTGTAACTTTTGCCCACTTTGCCTTCCTTTCTGAGGATGGGGTGGGATAAGGAATGAAGATCATACATGCATGGTTGCGTGCAGAATAGGAATTGCATGTTAAACAGGGAGTTCAAGGACCTTGCAGAAATTTGGAACAGGATGTGGGCCAAGACGAACAAACAGTACAGTGCAAGGTGCGAGTTACGTTTCCTGCTGCCTGACCGGTATGTCTTTGTGATCTGTTTCCTCAGATCAATGTGACCACTGTGCGGGAGTATCTGCCAGAAGGGGACTTTTCAATAATGACAGAGATGCTCAAAAAATTCTTGAGCTTCATGAATCTTACTGTAAGTAGTTTCTGTTGTAGTTTTTGTGATTTTAAGTATGTGTGATACATTGTGACAACAGAAGTAAAAATACTGTGGCCGTAGTGTTTGGAAACAAAAATGGTTTCTCTTGATAATTACATTGTTTAAGATAATCGTTGTTGTGACCAAATATGTTGATATTATCAAAGATACATTTTAACTCATGTTTTGAATCATTATTTTAGTAAAGCTAAAAAATAAGCTTTGTTATAATGATTTTTAAAAATTTGTCAAATAATAACTATAACTTACTTCTCCCCCCCTTCAGTGTGCTGTTGGAACTACAGGCCAGAAATCTATCTCTAGAGTGATTGAATACTTGGAACATTGCTAGCTGCTTTACCTTTGCTTCAGGTGCTCGGTATTGCTGGAGCTATTGTTAGACAAAGAAAGAAGTCCTTGAAGATATACCAAGAACATTCATCAGTATCATGTTTGGATTTTTAAGGCCACCTGATTTCTTCGTCATGCGTTCTGCATTTGCTAAATGACAGTTACTACATCAATCTGCAACTATCAAAAATGAGGGAAAAGGTTCAGGCTGTTAACAATTTCCATGCAGTATTTAAATACACTTACTTTGGCAGAGTTTATACTCTCCCCTTGTTCTCTTGCTTTATTCTGGGCAAGTTTTAAGGGGAAAATTTGCTGCTGTTAGTGCAACTGCTGTGTATGTTGAGCCACTGTTGTCATGCCAGCCAGGTGCAAAGGCAGCTTAGCTACTGAGGTATTGAATGTTCTAAGGACATTCTAGACAACAGCTTAGTTCCTTTTTCAGGCTCATTTGCTTTTGCTTTTTTGTTGAATGATTCCAATCGTAAATAAAGCTTTTAATAATTTTGTGAATTTTTTTGTTGTTGTTCCCTGAACTACTACTGTCTATTTAAAATTAGATGGAATCCAAAGACACGAGGGATTAATAGTATATTTTTTTATTCTTGATTTGGTTTGGGTTGTCAGTCTATTTTTCACTCTTAAGACCATGACCATGTTCATTATCATAATGAGTCATAACTATAGATGCAAGAAAGCAAATAACAGTTTGAGGGAATATTATATGAGATGAGCCCTGTTAAAGGCTAAATCAAAAGTAGATAAACCCAGGGTAGTTTACATTTAATGCTATGGGGGGCTGTCGGGTGGGGGGGCTCTTGAAACATTAAGTTTTGAGGGAGAACTCTCTAGATATATTTTCTAATGTTCAGTACAATAAATATAAGGAAGCTAAAACACCAATGTGGATTTCATGTTTCCAGATAACGTGTATATTCTTCTATAGAGTGACAGGATCAAATGCATAAACGCAAAGCCTTAAATTGCTGGTTTAGAGAAGGTCCTTTTTTTTCATTCAGATTCTTAGTTCATAGAAGAGTGTGTTTGGAAAACAGTCATAGAACACACAAGACACATTTTTAATACTAATTTCACAACATCGCAAATTTTTCTTGTTCAGACCACTGGTATACATTTTTCTTTTTATTGATCAGGCCTGAATATAGGCTTTCCAGATACCTATTTCATTAATGCTTTTCAATACCTTTACGGTAGTTATATCATGTTTCTTCATTGGATTTGTAAAACTTGAAGCCATAAAAATATTAGTTTGGTGTGTATTGGGAAAATAACTAAAAGTCTAACTTTTACCCATTTAGACTTTGTTATTTCCTTGTATAAAGTGACAAATCGGGGCTCTTGTTCAGTGCCAGCTGTAGTTTTTTTTTAATACAGTGGCTGCCTTCTATTGTCTTCCTATTTTTGATAATGCAGATTGTTGGGAAATCTATAAGGAAGTAACTGATTCCAGGCAAATTGTTAAAATTGTTCCTACCCACCCTATCCCTACCCATCACCTTTTAAGAGCATAGTATGCCAGTGTAACTTGGGAAAGATTGAGATTGTATTTGCCCTGAGTATAAAAGATAGTTTAGCAAACTATTTTAAAAACATATTGGTAAATAATCGTAAAATTAGATATATTTTGTTATTTTAAAATAAATTGATATTTATTAATCATTGGATTTAGGTAAAGGAGCAGATTTTTGGTAAAATTGACTTGTAGCAGATGGTAAGGAATATTATGAAACATTTGGATGCGAACAATCAGGGCGAACTACATTTTTCTGTTACACTGGTAATCATTTGAGAATTGATTTACCTCAGTGTTTAACAGGTTTTTTTTGTTTCGTTTTGTTTTTTAAATAATTAATTGTCAAGCACTGATAAGAGATGCAGATTTTGGTGAGGGGGGGTGAGAAATCTCACCAATTGCAGTGCATTTGTGTGTTTTTAATCCTCAGAGAACTCTGCATTTTAGGGTACTTGAGGCTGACTTGCAAATTGACTAAAGTTTTAAAAGTAACCTTTTTTTTCATTGTAAATAATTATGTAAATACTACCAATTGGAAATTAGAACAGTAGAGTACTTTTCTGAATCCAATCCTATTTTTATTTTATACAGTATTTCTCAGCTGTGACCTTTGGAGCAAAAGCCAACGGCAGGAAAAAAATAGTTTGTACCAGTTTCATGAAGTATGTCTTTGGGTTTTTGTAAATAATTTTAACTCAAATAAAATTGCTACTTTCAATACATATGTTGTCTTTAACATAAATCTATTGAACTATTTTGGGAGGAGGAAGTCTCATGAAGTTGATACAGCTGGCTAATGGGAAACGTCACTTAATTTTTCACAGCAACATACCTGTAAAACTTTGACCCATTTTTGTTAAAAATTATGTATTTACCCATGTTTTTAATAATACTCATCTGAATATAATGTCAACTTTCAGCAACTCGGGTTCTTTCCTTAGGAATGGTGGGTGGGTTTTTGGTTTGGTAGTTAATATCCCTGGCGTGTAAGTTAACTTTTAGTGGGTATTTTTTGTTTTGTTTTCAGTTTTCTTTGTCAGTCTTAAGCTTTCTGTTTTTACTGCAAATGGGTTCTTCAACCTCTCCTAACTGCTTTTAACCACAAAACTATTCTCCTAGTGTTCCAGCTCCTCTGTTCTCTTATACACACAGATCAAGTCTCTAAGCATGTTTAAGAACACAGGCTATGGATATGAAAACACCTAAATCACACATAGAAATTTGGAATATTAGTGCTGTCACTCCCTTTGACCAAAATACTGAACTAATATTTACTCTTTATTCAACTAGAAAATAGAAATGATTGTCTTAGAGTTGTGAAGATTAAATAAGACAGTGCATATGAAGCATTAACACAGAGTTCCCAGCGTAGTTCTTGGTAAATGGTAGCTTTTACCAAACAATTATGCTTTGGCTTTATCACGAAGCTGTGACTATTTGGACACGTGGGATAATGCCTTTACATGTCACAGGGCATTGAGTTTTCCTTACTTTAACAGCAAATCTCTAAAATTAATTGGTATTACTAATACCTTGGTAGTCACTAATAGAGCAGAGGGGGAAGTAGATCATTAAAATCTTTCAAAAATGTCCATCAGAAAAAAAAAAAAAATGTCCATCAGACTTTTTTTCTTTAATTAGAAAGGATTAGAAGAGGTTTGTAAAATTCACTCAGTTAATGGTCATCTGATTTTGGATGCAGTTTAGTAACTAAAGTCTTTAAACTGAGCAAAGAATTTGAATAAATACAGAATGTTTTGGTCAAATGTCTTTTCCTAGTGTCCATGTTTACAATTTGAATACTCCAAAGGCGTGTACTCTCTTAAGCAAGGGTAGAAAGCCATGCCTGTTCTCAGTCTTACCTACTTAGAAGGAGTTGTTTGCTTTTAAAAAAAAAAATTATGTATACAAGAACTGGGGTGTAGGCCAGAGGTGCAGGATGGTGGTGGGGGTGGTGAGAGATTCACCAGAGACAGAGTGGGCAGCAGAATAGGTAAATACTGAAATAAACTGCTGAGGGGAGCAGTGGGCCAGACAGGAGAGGTTTGCTGTGCCATGTGGGTCAGCTCCCTTGCCAGGAATCCAACTCATGCTGCAGTGGCTGCCCATAGCTTGATAGTGCTGAAATTTAACCCCTTGCACCATCAGGGAGGCCATGACTTGTTTACTTTTTAGTTAATTATATGGGCTTGTTTGCTATCCAGAGTTGTATTACAGAGGGTTTGGGTAAATGAAACTCTCAAGATTCATAAATTTTACTATAAAATAGTATAATACTAAATAGGTTGTAGTACATTAAAGGTGAATGTTATATAATCTCTACAGCCTCCAGTAAAAAAAATTATGTAAAGAAATATAGCTAGAGCTGCTTACAGGAACCAAATGGAAAATGAAAATATTTGATTAACCAAAGGCAGGTGGGGAAGGAAGAATAGAAACAAAAATAAGATGAGAAAAATAGATGAATAGCAAGAAAAATAATCGTAAGTATAAGCCCAGGAATAGGTCAAGGATGTCCACTAAATTATATCAATAATTATACACTTATTTTTATATACTAAGTATGAGTACACTAAATATTCAAATTGCCAAAAACAATACAAATATACAAATGGTTTGAAAGAAAGGATAGGAAAAGATACTGTGCAACACATCATAAGTAGGCTTAAGATAGGAATAGTAACATGTCTTAATTAAAACTTATTGAAATGGGTGGGTGGGGGGAGAGGATATATCAATAAGAAATAATTATGTCTGTGCACCTAGCAAAAGAGCTTTAAAAAAAGAAATCACAATTAGATATTTCAGCACCCCTTAGAAATTGATAGAATACTATCTTTAAAAATCAGTAAGAAGAAAAGCTTGACATCAACTACCTTGGTGTAATTGACATCTATGCATCACTACATTCAATAGTTTTTCAAATGGACATTTGAAATTTTGAGATGCAAATTTCACCAAGACAGATCACATGATGGGTCATGAGAGTCAAATTTCAGGCTATTGAAGCCTTAACTACAAAGAGAAGTCATAAGAAGTACATCTAGAAGATACATGAAAATTGTATAGACATATAAACCCATGGATTAAACAAAAGAAATCACCAGGGAATTTAGATCATTTGAACTGAATGACAAAATACAAACAAAATTTGTAGGATGTAATCAGTGCTTGGAGGACAATTAGCTTTAAATGAAGGTTTAAAATGAACTACCATAATTTCTACCTCAGGAAGCTAGAAAAAGATGAGTAATAAAAAAAAAAAACCCCATGTAAGTTGAAAGAAATGAGCAGAAACCAATAAAAAAGGCAAGCAAAAAAGAAACTACTAAAACCAAAAACTGACTTATTGAGAAGTCAATAAATTGATAAACATTTAGCAGTAGTAAATAAAAAATAGTCACAGACTGCTAATGTTAGGAATGAAGGAAGAAATTATATTTTCAATAGGCATTAAAAAGGATAAAGAATATTATGAACAACTTTTTTTTTTATAAGTTTTACAACTTATGTAAAATGACCAATTTTTTTGAAAAATAGCTTACCAAGACTGACTCACATAGGAACCTTAAGAAAGGCCACACTAAGCACAAGGGGTTAAGCGCTGCAATATGAAGCCATCCGCAGCCAGCCAGGGAGCAACCCACATGGCGCAGCACACTCTCCTGTCTTGCCTGCTGCTCCCCTCAGCAGTGTGTTTCAGTCAGTCTGCCTGTTCTGTTCCCCACTCTGTCTCTGGTGAATCCTCTCACCCCTCGCATCTCTGGCCTATGCCCAGGTTCTTGTATGCATAAATAAATAATCTTTAAAAAAAGAAAAAAGGCCACTAAGGCTAAAGAGTTTTACTATTCTAAGCTTTGCTGTTAAAAAAAAAAAAAGGAAACCCGATTTGCCCAATATCTACAAAAAGCAATTTAAAAATCTTCCTACAAATAAAAGTTCTGACCCATTAGATCACTTGTGCATTATAAAACATTTA